AAAATAACTTATGTAGCGGCTTTCGTGTCAATGTGCAGGCTTTTCTCCTCTCGATGCATAGCAGATATTAAACGAAGGTAGTTGAGCGTAGAGTTGTGCGCCAAGGGGTTGGCGCGCCACCGCCAACTGTTTTTGCTACACCCTTGCCGCCGAGGTGTTTTCTCGGCACGCTGTTTCAATACGATTTTTTTTTTTGTTAAACTACGTTTATGTTGCGCCTTCTGTCACCAGTCCGGCCTTTCTTTTCTGTCCGCTTCGCAAATGCATCGAAATTGATTCACCTGCCATTTCAAGTTAAATAAGCGGACTATAAAAAAAACTTGTCTAGTGCTCCTAATAACGTATAACGATAGTGTTAGATAGATTTAAATGTGTACTTTAAGATACTTTTAAGTTCACTGTATTTCAGCGAATCCCGGTCAGCTGGAATGGTGGTGTTTGGCGAGGACTGTCTGCATATTCTAGCTGACGAGAATATGTAATATGTGAGGCGGGCTTTGAACAATGATGGAAGGTGTGGAAAGTCTGTACTGGAATATTCATGATTATGACTGTGCAAGTGAGTCGAAGAACAAAGGCAGTTCAAATGCGAAGGGCGGAGCCAGATCTCGGGACGGGCAGGGTAGAAGCGTGATGTGCAAGGAAGATATTGTTATAACTGAGGAAGGGCTAACTGTTTAGGGACTACTTAAAAAAATTTGTAAAGAAACTGGATTACGTACATGGCTTTTCATGAACAAAGAAAGGTAAAATTACAATTAATATACGAAATGCTCTCTCAGACAGAAACGATCCACACCGTAGTCGGCAGGCTGAGTAAGATCAACAATATTGAACGAGATGGTGATCACCATAAATTAAGTTAGGGTGAACTGTGAAGTAACGCACAGAAGATGAATGCAGACAAAACACTGAAGCGTGGGCTTGTATTTTCAACGTGCTTTGTCCTTCACACTGTGCGATGCTCCACGCCGCGCTATCACACGAAGTAATCTGCCTCTCCTTCACCAGTTTTTATCTCAGAGTTAATTCAATTCCCTATAGATGCCGCTTTGTCACAACCGTGTTTAAAAAAGGACACCACATGTGTAGCTGGCTCGGCGAGTTGGTTTATAAAATTTTTGGAAGAGCAAACTAAGGAGCTCAACCTGATAGGACATCGAGCGAAATGTTTATGGCGGAAGGTCCACAAACCCATGTACCAGAAGCGCATTCATAAAAAATAGGCTGAGGCGTTCCACAGCTGCACACCTAACTCTACAAAGGCAAGAAGCGTGTCCAAGTGGTACTAACAGCACACTTCCATGACCAACGCCACGTGCATCCGCTATCTAGCAACGGGAATTCCTTATCTAGCTTTAAGGACACCTGAAGGATCATTTACATATGCGTTGCACTTTGCCCTTTTTATTTTCAAGGCTTCAAAATCTTCACGTTTATTCCATTTCTTCCTTTTCCGATGACACTGATATATCGCGGATGCAGAGACTAGCGAAGATGTCGGTTTTGTGCCTGAAGGATTTTCGCACTGCCCATAGGTGTCAGCAAGCCTCAACCAGTCTGATCTCTGTAAAGACGGTTGCAAGACGCAAGAAAAAAAAAAAGACTGAATGCAAAACTCGTGAAGCCTTCTAAATAAAAACAGAGTGAAGTGTCAAGTGTGATGATTCCCCAGCTTTCCTCACAGATAAAGGACTTACGGTATAGACAGCGGGTACACTTGGCACTGATATTTTGGTGTTCCAAGGAAATCAGCTGCTTATACCACCTTGAAACATTTGTTGCAAAAAAAGTAGGGTTAATTGTGTATCTGTGGCTTAGATATCCTTTTTAAGCAAGTGCTTCTGGTTAATTTGTGTAGGGGCTTTCTTTAAAAACATTTAGTTGTAAGCCCTGCACTTGCCTTTCCTGGTTCCTACGCTGCATTCGTGTTTTTTGTTGGTTTCTTAGATGGGTGAAGATCATTCCTATTATTATCATGCGGGCATAGCAACCACCCTTTCTCACTCTCCCATATTTCACTATAGTGAACGCACACAAAAGGTCGTCATCAACGCGTCACGTGATTGGGAGATGTGTCCCAATTATAAGTCAGCAAACTCACTGATGAGTCAATCAGAGGAATTGAAGACTAAGATTGAGATGTGAGCCAGAGTTCGAGTGAGACCGGCTGAGTTTTACCACGGTGAGTCTGAGTTCGACCGAGTACGATTCAGCAAAATTTTGGTTAGTGTGGGTTCTTGTGAGTCCTATGCGAAAAAAAAAAAACTTTTTTAATGAGGGTGTCTTTTTGTTTTGCTGACCTCTGGTTATAAATACTTTTAGTCTCATTTTATATCGTGCATGTTCCTGCTTGTAAAGCCACAAGATTTATTTTCCAAATTGTAAATCTGTCCAACTCCCCACACCCTTGCAACTTATTCCAGTGAAGGCTCTTAATGAAAACCACTTGCCCATATCTTCGAATAAGTATGATCACCTTAAAACTTAAAGGCGCGGAATGAAACGGAATGAAACGGCACTACAAAATGCCCCACTGAGATGAGATAACATTAAAATGCTAACACGACTGAGAAGATAATGTATACTGCCCATTTCCAACGTGCACAGCTATTTGTAACTTTGTCTGCAGTGTATTTAGTCATGGAGCAATTGCCGTTTGCGGCGGCAAGATTTCACAATTTGAAGTTTGAATTTCCAAAAAGATGTTAGAAGTTTCTCCTAAAAAACCCGCAATTTTTGGTGATGTAATAGTGATTTTGTGCGTCGCACTCGCTTCAACTTTAGTGCTAATAGGTAATGCGTTTATAGAGTACACCGTTCACCGACTATGACAAAGTATAATGAGCAATTTAAGTTTATCCATGCTACAAAGCTCATATGATCTTTCCTAAAAGAACGTATATCGAATTTCAATAATAATGAGAAAAAAATACTGAATAATTATTCGTAACTCCATCATTGTGTATCTACTGTAATTCACAGTTGTTCAAAATGAATGAACATGGCTTTAAGAGGGCATGGAAGTGGGTTATAAAGCATGTTCTGGCGCATTAACAGTTCCCGGGAATCTCATTAGGCAACATCTTGATTTACATTGAGTTTGATCTACAATTATGTACCAAATCAAAAGAGAATGAGCACTGTATTTTACCTTCATAAATCATGCGGCTTACAAGGCGATAGAGCAGCACGATTTGCGAGCATCGAGTGCGCCTTCGCTCTTTCAAATACCTGTCCTCTGACGCCGCTTCCGTTTTTGCATGAATAATTGGGGCTAATTGAAAATTACGGAGTGCAAAATAAAATATTCACAAGAACGAGAAAGACAGCACGGGCACTTGTGAATGCACTGTCGATGCATTGTTTTGCACTAAAAAAGTTTCCAATAGAAAAACACCATCTCAACAAATTTCAAGTTTTGTTAAAAATGTAGTGAACACACATGCTATCAGCTTTTACATCATTTCCTGCCATGTGATACGTTGAAAGCTTTTCGAGTGGATTTCAAGAAGACAAGAAGCAGGAACACACCGCTCCTCCCGTGCGCAACGGTTATACCTGTGTCACACGGGCGCGCAAAAAGTCTTTTAAGTAAGCGGTCTTTTACGATGTTGAAAGACTTTTAACAAAGAGGTGTTTGCGGCGCAGACACACGGCAGCAACGATCTCCTTTTAGTGTTTTCGTTCGAAGACGCTAGCGAAAGCGTGGCGCTAACAGTTAAATGGTGTATCACGATGTACAAATTAAAGACTTGTTGCCCTGCTCGTATCTTCAAATAAATTTAAGAATACGAGATGAAGAAACACCCATGTGAAAGTTTTTTGCACTAGATAAGGAAGCATTCCCATAACTAGCGACGTGCACAAGTCCGTCTGGCACCACTGTGCTTTTATTTACCGTATTTGTTTTTGCTGCTTTCGACTGCTCTCGACACGTTATAGGCGACCGTACGGGAGAAAAAGCGAAAATCGCAAGCCTCACGGCCTGCCTTCTCGCTCTGGAAAGCGAGGCAGACGCTGCAAAAGCCGCCAAGGATAGGATAAAGCTGCGCAAGACCGAGCGTCACCACGTGATATTGCCGACGCGTTGTAGCTGCTTACGAGAGTAGAAAAGGAAATAACCATTAAAAGAGTTCATTACACCTTCTGCAGGATATGAAATTTGTTTTTACAAAGAGTTTTGGTGACAGAAAAATAAGCATTTGCTCTTTTTTTCCCACCACTCGAAAATAGCTGGCGCCCACTGGTTTCGAGGCTACTCATTCAGAGCCGTAAAAGAGATCGACGAACGCCGTTTACGAAAAAGACCGCTTCTGAAAAGGAGTTCGCTCTGTGCCGTGTGTCTGCTGTCAGGAACTCATTTTCGGAAAAAGACCGCTTACTTAAAAGACTTTTAAGTGCCCGTGTGACAGGGGTATTAGTTACTAGAAAAAATAAACCCCTTAAACTGTAATGCTGTCAAATATTTTTCGTGACTCCCTCAGAACTTGAGGTGCTTCTAAACATATTGCCAGCATGTCTGATATTCAGGACTCCGTACCGACACAGGAAAGCAGTGCCCGTTTTTCTTTTTTTTTTTTCTTTTTCTTTCTCATTCAAACATCTCTCCATCCATAATGAGATATGACACGCAGAAAACTTTCGGCAGTTCGTCATTCGTCATTGTGTTCGCCCAGTCCATTCTTCGAAAAGCTTGACGACACGGGCGTTTCCCAGGCTCAAGTTACTCAAACCTAAGCTTTTGCATTCTTTGTATGCCCCAAGCAATGCAGACAGGCTAAAAAAAACAGCAATGAACTCTACACACTGGGTTCAGGGTGTGCAGCACCCTGAACCCAGTGTGTAGCATCTGTATTACCTCAAAGCTGAACATTTGGCAGAAAGAAGAATGTTGGGATAACAAAAAAATGGAAAAAACAGAAAACTCCAGCCAATATTTATATTAGGAAACCCGATTTTTAGAAGCCTGATCAGTTTTTTTTTTTTTTTTCAGGGGTGAGAAGGCCCGAGATGTTCGCCACGACTCGTTGCAAGCCCTGGAAGTAGAGCGAGGGCAGTGTCTCCAGTGATGCTCTCGTTGTCTCTTACTGTCTGCTGACTGCGCCAGAATTCAAAGGGGAGCTGCCGGTGAAGGTTTCTTTCTGTTTAGAAGATCACCGCGCCGTCGAAACTGGTATGGTGGCCAACCCGCTTACAGTGTTCTGCCTCTGCACTACCTTCACTGTTCATTTGACGGAAGTCATTCCTGTGCTGTCATATTTTTTCATGGAATTTCTTTGTTTAGCCGGCAATCGCGATTTTGCACATGACGGCCTGTGCTCTGCCTGCAGGTGCAAGGTCTTTGCACCAGTGGATGAAACTACCGATGGTGATAGAAGGCTTGTGGCAACGTTGACTCCTGCCTTTATAACTTCGCTGGCGCGCACAATGTAGCTGATCGACAAGTGGCGTTGTTGCAGCGCGGTTGTCACATTTTCTCCTTTTTTATTAGGTAGGGCTCTGCTAATAAACGCCTTTCTAAATAAATGTTGGTGCTGAGATAACGGATTATTTTCTCCCTTTCACTGCTGTGGTGACGAGTGGTTATCAGATGATTGATATTTTGATTGAGGTTTTTACGTTTGTTCATATTTCTTCATTCTGGTCCCAAAAGGTGATTTCGAACATTTATGTACGTGTATAGTAGCTTTTCAGGGGAAGCTTGCAGTAACTGATCTGGAAAGCTGGTAAGATCAGGTAAACTCGTTTCACTTACAATTTATTGATATGATTGATATGTGGGGTTTAACGTCCCAAAACCACCATACGCATATGAGAGATGCCGAGGTGGAGGGCTCCGGAAATTTCGACCATCTGGGGTTCTTTAACGTGCACCCAAATCTGAGCACACGGGCCTACAACATTTCCGCCTTCATCGGAAATTCAGGCGCCGCAGCCGGGATTCGAACCCGCGACCTGCGGGTCAGCAGCCGAGTACCTTAGCCACTAGACCACCACGGCAGGGCGTTTCACCCACAACTGGCAAGTACAACACAAAGCTTAGGGGAGGGGAGGGGGGTCATGAGAAGGCATGAAGATAGCACAGCAAGATGAAAAAAAAAAAAATCTTTTGTGCAACGAAGCGTTGCTAAAGCCTTTGCAGCAGCCATTTATCTTTACGACTAACTCCACTTCCAGTCCTACATTACGCCCTATGCCCCCTGTCCCCAACACACTGTGATAGGGGATAAGACTGGTGCCCATCATAAATAGCCTCCCCCCCCCTTTTTTTTTCTTTTGGACTTCGTGAGCAAAAGATAAATGTCACTTTTTTTTTTACAACCCACAGCTGGAAAGTCCGAAAGCTCGAGTGCGCGAGGATAATTCTTGAGGTCCTGGTTCCACAGAGTGCCGAGTGAGATGGGACGCAGACTGGTTCTCGCATGAAGGAAAGGACATGTCGACAAGGCTTTGCTGAAAGAACATATAATAAATATGTATGCTGAAAAACAAATGATTTACGGAACGTTTGCCAGTCCTCTTACATCTCCATGTTGTTTTCTCCGACACTACTAATAAAAGTACTGAATTTCAGCTAAATAAGCAGAGAAGACACAGTAAAGTAGCATCCCCGCCTCAGTGGTCTAGTGGCTAAGGTACTCGGCTGCTGACCCGCAGGTCGTGGTATCAAACCCCAGCTGCGGCGGCTGCATTTTGGATGGAGGCCGAAAAGTTGTAGGCCCGTGAGCTCAGATTTGGGTGCACGTTAAAAAACCCCAGGTGGTCGAAATTTACGAAACCCTTCACTACAGCGTCTCTCATAATCATATGGTGGTTTTGGGACGTTAAACCCCACATGTCAATAAATCAACAGTAAGGTAGCGTTGTTGTTGTTTTTTTTGAAATTGTAGTTTTGGTTTCCACGCTGCTGCCGAAAAGTGGCTGTGCGCTGCCGCCGATCAATTTTCCTGGCGTGCTTCGCCGCCGTCGCCTCGGAACAGCCCCAACGCTGTCACCGATCAAAGCAGCCTTGGCGCACACCTCTAGTTGAGAGGCTGTATGGCTCCTGGTAGCAAAGATCAGCGAGTGCTCACCTTTCCGTTAGTGCTGATTTGGGCCCTCCAGTTCTAGGCGATGCACCGATAGAGTTATTAAGAAAAAAATATGAAAAGCAACGTTAAATAGCAAACACGCAGTACACAATGCGATAGCCCACCGTTTGCGTGCAGATACACTCAGCGGTGACGCTCTCGAAGAAAGCACCACTACAGTTCGTGTAAACTCGGCCGTGTTAAGAATCTGCAGCATGGCGCACTAGTTTTTGTGAAGATATCCCAAACGCCATATTGCTTGTCCACTTTCGCGAGCACGTGCTTCACGAACAGACGCCACCGGCGTACCCTTTCAGCATACCCGAGGCATGGCCGCTCGAACACACGATGCAGCAGTGCCCGAGCTGCCCAAGCGTCTGGCAAATCCAGTGCGCCCCCGTGTTATCGCATTGGTGTTTTCCTGGTGGACACTCTATAAACGCTGCTGTGGTTGCTGGAAGAGGAGGTAGAGGCAAAGGGGTGCGATTGGCACTACTTTAGTTTTTTTTTTTTAACACCAGATGCTCCTCTAGGTATTATAGTATGAAACTCTATGCAATCCTCCAAGCAATGTCCCCTTTCCATTCCGACGTAACGAAAATATGGAATGATTACAGAATCATTCCAATTCCGGAATGGGAACTCTGCTACACTGCTCGTAAGGAACACGTTAAAAAAAAGTGATTACGCACATTAAAGCACTCAGATTTGACCGAGTTTACAAACACGCAGAAACGCAATCGTTACTTGATCCAAAAATCAAGTCGGCAAGAGTGGCACGTTAAATGCTATAGTTGTAGAGAAGTGCTGCCGACTCAAGCGAAATTTCCCTAGATTTAGGGGATTTTGTTGCACTTAGGGGAAAAGAAAAATTTGTCAACATCTAGGGAAATTTTTTTTGCTTCCACGTGAACCAAGCATGTCAACGGAGGAACCTTTTGCCCACACCCTATTTTTTGTTCCTTCATCCATCTGTTCTCTTTTACAACCCCTCTACTTTGTACTATGACATTTTTCCACCGTCAGCACGGTAATTTCAGTGAATACTTTCAAACGAATGCACCATTATATCATAAAAATGCACTTTGAAATCGTTTTCCACATAACAAACACATTAGTCTTCAAAAAACCTCTCTCTACGAAAATCTAGGGAATTAATTGACTCCAACAAGGAAAAAAGTGGCTCCGCTAGTTGGCAGCACAATACACCTCAGACTCTTGAGTTTTGCGGACATACAGCACAACCTGTCGACGCAGTTTTGAGTAGTGCAAAGCCCGACTCCCGGTGCAACTAACGTGTAGGAAACAACAATTGAACTTAAAATTACATGCATTTGCGCATTGAACAATCAGAAAAAGGGCTACAAATTTCTGTTCGCTAGTCGAACGCGTCACCGAACCGTCGTGAAGTGCTTGCTGGTTCACTCGCCTGATTGACGGCAAAAACAAGAGCAGACGCAAAAGCTCCGCGCTTTACGAAAAAAGACACCAGTCTGCATTACTGCTGCGTTGTGAATTGCCACAGATGGAAATGAATTAGTTTAACTGACTTCCCCAGCTTTCACAAAGCAGATTGGCGAAAGCGCTAAGTACAGGCCGTTTCGAACATGTTGGTAAGTGCATTACTTGCGTTCTCCACAGCCGTTCGCTTGAGTAAGTGTGATAATGTAGGTCTCCTATTACTCTTTTGAGTAGCCTTGACAGAGAACCGTGGTAACTTTGATTATGCAGCTTAACAGACCCTCCGACCGCAGTGCGCGGCGTGCAACGATAGACAGGTGATGCCTCGATAAGCATCGCGTACGCCGTGAGCACCGACAATCTGAAGTTGTTGCCCCCTCACAACATTACGCACATAGAGATTTGAAGGCTCTATAAGTTCCGGCTTTAACTAGGAAATGTGCATCATACAGCTAAATCGCAAAATGATCGCGACTACAATCAGTTTTTTTTTTTTGCCATTGGTTTTTGTGGTTACCGGAGCTATTACGGATGCATCGGTACTGCCTTTCGTTGTACACTGAGAAAGTGGACAAGCATGTAGCCTCATTTGCAGTATGTACAAAGAGAAGACAACCGTTTTACCCAGCATTTAACCAGGACCAGATTTAGAGTATACAGAATGCAAGCTGGAGTGCTTGCCTCTAACTAGATGTCATGCGATGCTTGCACTTAAATTGCCAGTTACAGCACGCCAAAATAAATGAAATGTCTTCTGCATTGTGGACGCATTTCGTTTTGATGAGCTTCCTACCTTTATGCAAAAAGGTTGGATTGAAGAAAGAAGCTTGTCAGGTCCTTGATTTTCAGAACGAAGTGCCTAGCGTCACGTCTAGACGCAACGATGGAAGCCGTTAAAGTTACGTCCAGATGTAACAATAAGACATGTTAGAGTTACACCCAGCGTGACAACAATAAAAAACCGGCTGGTTAAACTCGCCGAAACCAATCGGCAGAAGTGGCATAGTCGGCTAATGCAGCTCACGCACGACCGTGGGGTTGTTGGTTCAAGCCCTACCAAATATTTTATTTATTATTTTTTTGTGAAAGTATTCTTCTAAACAGTGCAGCATTAATGTTTCAAGAGCACTGCTTATATGCTTTTTTTTCTTAAAGAAAGTAGCCTTCGTGGCCGTGGCGGACACGCCAAACCGCGTTGCTACAGAGCCGTGCAGTTCTGCTGCAGCAAGCGCACCGCAAAGCGACATTATCCCAGTGACACACGAGCAAACTTCCGAGACTGCCAAGTGATTATCAAACTCAAGTGTATATTGTGAACCACACGGCGAACGTAACCTTAGAAGCTAATCATAGTTACGGCTGGACGCAACTTTCACCTTTTGAAAAAGCTACATCAACACATAACTGTACAAACCGTTGAAGTTACGTCCAGGCGTAAAAATAAGACAATGAGTTAGGTCCAGAGTGACAACAATACAAAACCGGCTTTTTAAACCCACCAAACCGATCGACAGCAGTGGCGTAAAATAGAAAAAAAAGGCAGCAGTGGCGTAGTAAGGTAACGCAGCTCGCGCACGACAGTGGGATTGTTGGTTCAAGCCCTACCAGAAATTTCTTATTCATTTTTTATGCAAGTATTTTTTTAAACAATGATTCATTATTGTTCCTAGAGCCTTCGAGATTGCAGAAGACGCGCAAAACCACGTTGTTACAGCGCCGTACAGTTTTGTTGTAGCAAAATAGTGAGTGTCAGCGACGAAAGCACACCGCGATAATATCCCAGTATAAGCGCTAGTGGGAGCTTTTCCTGTAAAGTCTGTATAAACTCTATGAGTCGTAGAGTTTCCCACAGAAAACTCTATGGCCTCAGTGACAATTCGTTTTGTGTTCCGAGGTGATTTTTCCACGTTTTTACCATTGCACCCTTAAAAATATATATACATAACGAGTCAGATGGATGTGTTTTTGTTGCTCAACAATAACCGTAATCTATATTGACCTATAATTCAAGTGTAC